ATTCCCAGTGCTGTGCGCAGTGGTATAGACACATAAGTCTCCCCAGAGCTTAGCCATTCTAACTGATGTCTGTCAAGTTTCTTTTGGAGGGATGGTACATCTCCCTTCCTCCACCGCTCTGTTATTCAGGAAAAGCCAACTTCTGTGATCTAGTGTATTTACCCACAGGAAGGGAGAGATTCAGATACAGAACATATTCATAGACACACAGCCGCCTGGCGATGCAATACACGCCCACCTCCTTTGCACACATGCAAATATACACCTTTCCTTTGGCAGGTATGTGCACAGACACATACTATCTCCACAATCCCAAGACACCTCAAACCTGTACCCCATCCACTCTGCACACGCACACGGATACACACACACACACACACACACACACACACACACACACACACACACACACAATGTGAAAGGTTAACCAATAACCATCACCCTGAAAGTAGTTGATGGAGCAGCTCCCCGCCCAGCCAGAGCAATGCCTGTCTATGGTTATGTCCAGCCCAGCCCCTGACGCAGGTTACGTGCTGGATCCCCGGGAATGGAGCCAACAGGGGCTGCCAGCCCTGCTGCCAGGGAGCCAGCTACAGAGCCTGCACCAAAGCCACCCCAGGAGCGGAACTCTTGCCAGCTCTGCTCCCAGGGAAGTGGCTTTGCTGCAGCAGCAAAACCTCCCCCCAACAGCAGGATGGGCAGGGGCTGGAGGCTCTGCTCCCAGGGCTGCTTCGCTGTGGGCTCTGTAATATAAAAGCGTATTTAAGCATTCTGCTGCAGAGCCTGCAGTGTGTAACCTGTAGGAATTTTAGCGGTTTCACGGTTACCCTTTGGAACGAATGTTTACATTCCTAACACACCCCGGCAGAAAGCAGAGCAAACAGCACTGCCAAGGATAGTCTCATCCAGAGGCTCAGGGGTGGAGCAATATTTAAAGCCCCACAAACCATGTAAATGGCTCCGCATCAAGAGCTCTCCCAGCCTTCCACAGCACCCTCATTATATGTTTCAGCTGAGCCGGGTGTGAAAGCTGAGAGGAAGTGTCCCGTGGGAAACAGGAAATAATGAATTTGCCACTAATTCAACACTGAATTAAAAGAAAATCACCAAGCACGGAGCCCGCTCGTATCCTTCTGGTGCCCCAGCTTGCTCCCCACCAGTCTGAGTTCAAACTCGGGATCGGGGCAGGGAAGCATGCTGTCTGGAAATGACACGGGAAGGGGAGATTTTAGCTGCTTTTCTCCTTCTCATAATACAGTAATTTTCCCTTCAAGTTTTGAAAGGCAAATTATCCCGGCGAGACCTCGCAGAGCCTATGGCCCACTCTTTTTCTCAGGACAGGCAGCAAGCATTGGGATGGCATGTGGCAGGGCAGTGCTGTAATTGCAGGCTTCACTCAGCGCCACACAAAGCTGACACTCGGGCTGTCAAATGGACCAAGGGCTGCAGTGTGTTTACAGAGGAATGCAAATCCAGCCACTTCCAGAAGCCTAAAGTCAGGCAAAAGATTTGGCAACTTTGGCAATTTTCCGCTGTCTTCAAGGAGAGCAGGATCAGTCCCTGTTTGTTCATAGGGAAATAGTGGGTTTTGTGCCGCAGATTAATTAAAATAGTGCTGTTCATTCTGGGGACCACGACAAACTGAAAGGAATTCAGAGAAGACAAGTACCATATAGTGATAAAAGACTGGAGAGACTGAACAGAGCTCATCATGAAATGCTGAGGGTGTCCCCGTTGGCACCAGAACTCCTCACTGTTGTGCGGAAAAAGGGAAGTCGAGGAGAGTATTTCTCCCGTTGACCTCCCGTTGTGGAGACAGCACCGAGCTCGGCTTAAGGTACGTCGACTCCAGCTATGTTATTTACATAGCTAAGTTGTATACTATAAGCCGACCTTCTCTCCTCAGTGTAGACCTGAACTTAATGTAAGTCATCTATTGACATCAGCTGAATTACATCAATATACAATTCATATACGTGAGAGCAGAATGAGGCCCCACAAGAATGTTATGGGTGTAAACATCAAGAAGGGAAAGGAATTTTTTAGGGTGGTTTAGGAAGTCAGAGGAAACAAAGGAACATGCAGAAAAGCATCCTGGCTGTGATATGTATTAGAATCCTAGAACTGGAAGGGACCTAAAGGGTCATCGAGTCCAGTCCCCTGCCCTCAGAGCAGGACCAAGCACTATCTAAGATCATCCCTGATAAGTGTCTGTCTAACCTGCTCTTAAATATCTCCAGCAATGGAGATTCCTCAACCTCCCTAGGCAATTTATTCCAGTGTTTCAGGATACTGACAGGGAGGAAGTTTTTCCTAATGTCCAAGCTAAACTTCCCTGGCTGCAATTCAAGCCCATTGTTTCTTGTCCTATCCTCAGAGGCCAAGGAGAACAGTTTTTCTCCCTCCTCCTTGTAACACCTTTTTAGATACAGGCAGTCCCCTTTTTAGATACAGGCAGTCCCTACAGATAGGGACTGTAGGTTTGTTCTTAAGTTGAATTTGTATGTAAGTCGGAACTGGTACATATTGTAGGGGAAACTCTAGCCAAACATTTCTCTAGAGCTCAGTTTTTTCTCCCACACCTCACTTCCTCAGTCCTTTATTCTCAAGCTGAGGTGTCTGCTGAGAGAAGCCGCTCCGCGTCTCCCTGGTCTGCTGGGAGGGGGGGGGCGCGCTAGCTTCGCGTCTCCCTGGTCTGCTGGGGGGAAGCAGCTAGTGCGGGGTTGCCTCACCCCGTTTGTAAGTAGGGATCTGAGGTAAGTCGGATCCATGTAACCCGGGGACTGCCTGTATAGAAGATGACTGATCATCTTGGAGCTGTTTGAATACACTGCACTGTTTTATAACGTAAGGGTGGAATACTAGAGATAATGGAAATATTGGTATAAGATTAATAATTTAGGAGGAAGCCATCATAAATTCAGATGAAGGGGATCATTGCATCAAAAGGCCATACAAATCAACAAAGCTTTTCTCCCTTCTTGGTTCCATTTTTTTCCAAATCAGTTCAGTCTTTCATTGTCACAAACCAAGTTAATCATATTTCTCATTCTCTAAGCCCAGAATCATTAGGCCACAAAACAGTCTCCTCAGGGATGTGGAAGCATCTGAGGCAGCCAGACACATGGGCAAAGCACAGAAGCAGACTGCAGAGAGGAATCCTGAATGGGACATGACCCATTTTCTATTGCTAATAATCTATTATTCTAGACTTCTATAGTCACATAGGAGTTGCTCTATAACCACGGCTCCTGAGGGAGTCTTTCCCTCTTTCCTTACAAGAGTGTCATGAATTTGGTGCACTGGAAAGGGGCTCAACTGAATAGACTTAACTACTAATTTGTGTTTCCCAGGCCCATGGCATCTGTTTGCCTCACAGAAATGGCAACATCCCATCCCAGGGCATGGGAAGCAGCTCAGAAGCAGCACCGCAATGGCAGCAGATAGGCATAAGGTAAAAATCTGCCGGCCAATCTGGCAGAAATAAAGTCTTGGCTGCTCCCTCGCATTCTGATTCACCCTCCGGTCCCCAGTCTTCCCACCCAGAAATCTGCCTCTCCTGCTTATCAATCCACCACCACCCTGACTGAGCCCTAATTTATCTCTAGTTTTCTAATTGTGGATGTTGTTTTATTTTCCATCATCTTCCTGGTTACTCTCCAGACATTCTGTTACTAATTTAGATTCTATTTCAAATGATGTTCAAAAAGGGATCCAATTAAAAGGCTGTTGGTAGATGAATGACTCACCAAGGAAGGCAACTAACCAGAATATTTCTGTGAACTCAACTATGGGAGATTTACATAAGAACATAAGAACAGCCATACTTAGTCAGACCAAAGGTCCATCTAGCCCAGTGTCCTATCTGCCGACAGTGGCCAATACCAGATGCTCCAAATTTCATCCCTCAACTGACACTAGCCACAGCAAACGTCACCTGTGCAAGCAGAGTTATGCATGACACATACCCATGTGCTAGGGCAGTGTTTCTCAACCAGTGGTACGAGAACCCTCAGGGGTAGAAGTCTGAGGGGTACATCAACACAACTGAAATTTCGAGAAAACTGAATTTTTGTTTTAAGTTTTACAGCGCTTTATTATCTTTGTACTTTTTACACCCAAAAATGTCATCGCCCGCCCAGCTACAATTAAGTTGTTTAAACAAATGTGTTGCAATGGTAGAAAAAAGTTGTGTGTGTCTGAAAACTGTAGGTACTGGGGGTACTTGTAATTTTTTTTAAAGGGTACTTCATAAAAAAAGGTTGAGAAACACCTGTGCTAGGGCACACATATCTAACCAGTGGACTCCCCTACCTAGTGAATGCACTTGCCATGCAAATGTGTTCTGTACAATCCTGTAGCTGGGACTCGAACAAAGAGCCTAAGATCTGTAAGCAGAAATTGTTGCAAGTGGGTCAAAAGAGAGTGTCCTGATGGCTAATCTGTGACCTTTATGAACTTCACACAGGAAAGAATTCAGGCCCTTCTGCTCTAGTTTACAACCCTCTCACTTGAACTCCACTTAGCTGTAGTTATAGCTCCAGGGGGCTCTAGCATGAGTGACACAAACATGCTGGAGTAGGTCTAATGTTCCACCCAGTAGTGGGGCCACAAACACGGTCATAAAGTGCTAGAAGATTTCCTACTGACCTCACCTCTGATCAGGTCCCTGGAGAACAATGTATAAACGTCAGCTTGTGGCAATCTGTTTTTGTGCAATGCTGAGTTAGTAGTCTCAGCTGTGAGTTAGTAAAGCTGATCTGGCCTCAGTCAGGCGTCTGCTTCTTTTGATAGATTCAAAACAATATCGCTTCAGCTGAGTCACTGTGCATGTCTTACAGTTCCCAAATCAAGAAAGTGAAAGATTCTTGATGCTGCTGGTTGCAGAACTATCTCTGTAATTAGGGCCCAAAATTCCCTTCATCCATTTTCACCTCACCATTTAGCTGCCCCATGTATTAAATACCCACATGATGTTATGGTTACTGATAACTTTGTACCTGATATTGTCAATGAGAAGTTGATGGGATTCTTTGGTGAGAATCATGGAAAGGGTATAAGCCAAGTATTCCACCTTCCGCTCTGCCGCATAATGCTTCAAAATGGTGAAAACTTTCTCTTTTACCTCTGGTTGATCTCCGAGAATTTCGTCAACCTGTGTGGGAGTGGTTACAAGAGGCCCATTACAGAGGAAGAAACTAGCATGAACCACAACAGAAATGAAACCACCAGAAACACAGACATATTAGTGATACTTGGACCAACCCAAAAGAGAAGAAACAATTTACTTAAAAAGCAAACAAACCTACCCTTTATAATCATGTTAGATGCTAGTGACACAAACTCAGGGCTCCCTCCCACTTCACAACTGTCATTATCTTTTGCCATGGTCAGTGAGAACTTTACAGTAATGGCAGAATTAAAAATGTTCCTACTTCAGAAGCACAGAACCTTCGTTCGCAGATAACCTTCACTTGCAGTGTAGGGCATATGACACAGTTGAGCAGTTCTGTTTCGACCCTCTAGCTTTAATTACTGCTTGATTACACAGAGTGACATTTTCTTGCTATCAATTCTTGAAATGCTGCAGAAAAATAGGAAATTCACCTTTGGGGCACTCTTGTCTTGGTGCAGAAAGTGGGAAGGGCCCAGTCTGGTTCCCTGTCTCTGGTTTGTGTGCCACTGCTAGTATATCACGCTTTTGTGACTGAGATTATGAACTCCCTTTCTCTACCTTAATGAAGAGTCTTGATGCTAGTCTTCAGTGCATCTTAGCTGGCCTTCAATCACTCAGTCACACATACTCTGACCCATAGCAGAACCTTCAAGCGGGTCATGACCCTGGGTACGTCTACACTGCACGGCTATTTCCGAAATAAGCTGTTCCAGAATTGTTATTCTGAAATAGCTTAATTCAAAATAGCACATCTACACTGCAGGGAAGCCTCAAAATTAGTCCGAGGCAGGCTTCCCTAATGTAGATGTGCTATCTCGATTTAGAGCCCCAGGAGGCACCGGGGAGGAATTACTTAGAATGGCCCTGGTGAGGGGCTATTTCAAAATAGCAGCAGTGGAACGTCTACACACGCCTTATTTCGAAATAGCTATTTCAGAATAGACGTTACTCCTTGTACAATGAAGTTTACAGGTTTTGGAATAAGCTGCCCGTTATTTCAGAATTATTTCAAAATAACAGAATGGCTGTGTAGATGCTCACATTGCTACTACGAAATAACGCTAGTTATCTCGAAATAACGGTGCAGTGTAGACACACCCCAAGACAGGTCTGAAAGATCCCAGCTCTAATATATAAATGAACAGGAGGCATCAATAGGTACAAGCAGGAAAGGTCAAGGTCTTACTCTGGTCTCTCTGTTAGTACAGTTACCCTGGAAGACTGGAACTTGCTGTGCTAGCTGGCTTTGGAGCCCTCTGCCCACCCTGGAATGCATTACTTCAGAGCACTGGTGGGTTTGCTTACCATAGACCATCTGCAGGCTTGCCAGATTCTGCTGGTTTCTGTCCGCATCTTTTTTTTCCTACCAATATTGCTGAAGCGACACACGTGTAAAGTAAGGGTACGTGAAGTGAGGTGCATGCTGGTTACACGCAACACTGACTGTGAAAACCACGTGCATCCCATCTAAGCACTGCTACAGTGCAATCACCACACCCCACAAATTCTGGGTATACGAGTGCAGTTAGCAAAACTACCCTATCCCAGGACAACAGTCTTGGTTATGACAATCTTGTGGCCCAGTGAGATGAAGGAGGACCACTCATGTGGCCTTCACTAGCCTAGGTTGCCCATCACTGCTTCAGAGAGTCTGCATGGTAGGCAAGTGTTCTCCAGATACAACAAATGCCAAGCAAGTAGAAAACTGTCTAAGAGCCCCCTCCTCCTATTCCTCTTGTGTTGCTTTTCCATTGATGGAGGGGTTTGTGGTCCAAGTAGTGACCCCCAAATGCTGCAGACATTACACACATCAGTTGGACTTAGCAGCCAAAGAACTTATTCACTCTTTGTCCTGCATAAAAAGGGAGTGCACCTTTCCTTAGACCAGGCTCTCTCCACTCCACAAAGCTACCTAAAAGGAGCAGAAATAAAACCCATCTGAGAAGTGCCACGTGCTGGAGACAGAGACCTTTATATAAGAAAAGGAAAAGAAGTTGTTGCCTCCTGGTCCTTGTTCCACTTTGAAGTTCTCCGAAGTCACTTCTCACAGGTGTCTCTAACCTATATCACAAACCACAAGGTACTTGCCAATTTGAAAAAGCCTTCACATGACCACTATTGAAATTCCCAAGAAGCAGCAGACATTTCAAGGTTGTTAAATCTGGAGCAGTAAAGGCAGCAGTTACACAGGATACAGACTCACATGCTCCTTCCTCGCCAGTACCAGAGCAGTGTTACAATAAACCTGGTGTTTTCTGTGGGCCAGATCCTGGGGTGAAAGTTTTTCCTGAGTCAGGACATCAGGATTTGGCTCAAAAAGAAATTACAAAACCTGGTCACGTAATGAAAATTCTGTGTCAGAATCCTGGGTGCCCTCTACCAGCTACAGCAACAAATCCAGCAATGCAGCCTGTTACAGATTCCCCTGCTTAGAAGAAACCTGGGATGGGTACATCTCCTACACCACATCCTCTGGCTAATTTCCCCTCTCCTCTCCTCCCCACAAAGGGACATGCCAGGCTTCTGACTGTGTCGAGTCCATTGTCAGGGCACACATTCTCAGTCTAACTGTAGACACCAGATCTGGGGAAGCTGTGACTGTGCTTCGTTTACAATAAATATGGCCATGTGCCTTTGATTTTTATCCAATTTTGTGGTGTTTGGGGGTCCTCTGTGTGGGGCCAGTACAACATACACAGAGGCAAGCAGGCAGCCAAAGGATTATCATCACTGGACAGTCAAAGGTACCTATAGAACACCCCACCAGTGACTTCTAACCCACAGCTACAACTAAAGATCAGAGAGATGTTCATCTCCATGCTCCGTTCAGCCCTTGACCTCTGCTGAGACTGCCAACAATGGGGCTTAATGGTGCAAACAGTAATGTGGTCACCCACCATTGGGAAGGGGACTGGGAACAGCCACTTCATTCACTGCTCAACAGCCACCAACCTCTTGACCTCAATTTACATGGTAATTTTTTCACGGCAGGATCTGTGGGTTTTTTTGTTGTTACAATTGTCTGTGCAGTGCCTGTCACGCGTCTGAGAGCTGAGTGAATAACAACAGCAGAGGGTGACCCAGAACTGAAAGCCTACGTCTCATTACTATGTCTTGACAAAACCCCATCCCGCCTCCATGCCACAGAGCTCAGGGAGCTGCCCAGTACAATGGAAGCGTCAAAAAACAAAGAACAACATGCGAGGAAACTAGATCCACATCCCTAAGTCAATTCTCCTGTCCACTCCCGAGTGGGCCAGACTAGAACATGCAATTCAGTACCACACAAGGAACAGATCCTGGATCAGTGATTCAGTCACTGGGAATGTTTACATGCAGATTCGAGCCCCCAGGTCAGGGATAATTCAGTGAGGGCTTGGGTTCATGCTCACAGCATGGCCAGCCATGACAATTACACCAATGCTGCCACTTGAATCACCCAGCCCCCTCCACAAGTGCTGTCAGTTTAGGGCAAGGTGGGAAAAGGGGCTCCCTGGGCCACCTCCAGCCCACCCTGCTTGGGTTCATGCTCACAGCATGGCCAGCCATGACAATTACACCAATGCTGCCACTTGAATCACCCAGCCCCCTCCACAAGTGCTGTCAGTTTAGGGCAAGGTGGGAAAAGGGGCTCCATGGGCCACCTCCAGCCCACCCTGCAGCCGCCCTGCCACTCCTCCACCCCCAGGCCAATCAAGACCCGGGGACAGGGAGCGCGCCAAGTCTCCCCGCTCCCAGCCAGTGGCATGCGGCATCAGAAGGAACTATTGGCTGTTTTAGAACAACCGGTGGTTCTCTCTAGTCGCCGAACCCCCCTGGTAAGACAGGGGTAGGTAGGGTTGCCAGATGGTTTCAACAAAAATACCGGACACACTTGACATGACATCATATCACAATCTACAGTACATCTTAGTTAGAAAATACCAGACATTGATATCTTCTCAATTTGTTTCCCGAACAGAAAGCTCAAATACTGGACTGTCCAGTTCAAAACCAGACACCTGGCAACCCTGGGGGCAGGTGGGGAGAGGCCTGATTGGCCTGGGGGCAGGAGGAGCATGCGAGGTCTCCTCCCGCTGCAGCACCTAGCGGGATCCACTGGCTGTTTTAAAACAGCTGGCAATTCTCTCTAGGCAGTGGAGGGTGTGTGGGGAAAGACTTCACCCACTCCCCACCACCAGGCCAATCAGAGACTGTGGGCAAGGAAGCATGAGAAGTTGTCTGGCCCCGCCCTTTCCACCCGAGGCCACGCCCCTTCCAGGGCAGTCCGGAACGACTTCAGAAATTTGTGAAGTGGCCCCTTTTTAAAATGATTGCCCACCTCTGGTCTAGGGAAACAAATAAGATAATGATCTAGAGCTTAGTGTAGGAAAAGCTTCCTGAACACACAGCAGGAACTCAGTGCTACCCCCAGCTCCCTTAAACCTTTTAGCCTGTGACCAAAATGTGGACCCCAATGATACTGTGAAGCAGAGGTGAGCTACTAATGCATTTGAGGTAATATGCAGATAAGCATCCCAAGCATTCTCCTGGCTTATTCCACCCACCTCTGGCACCAGCAGCTCTAACTGAAGCAGTATTTACTGGTAAAGGATGGCTTTTATTATTTTCTGCAGCTTGTTGCAAATTAGGCTACTGAAACATCTGAGCCATTACATTCTCATTCCTGAAACAACAGCCCATAAAGCTCTGCACACTCATTTCCACTCAAGCACTCTGGGGAGCAGCTGGCTGAGCTGGTATAGAAACAAAGTGTGTGGAGGGGGTTACTGCTTGCAAGCAGTGCAGACTGATTAGAGACACAGCAACCACATCTTCACTAGGGATGTAAAATCCCAGCTAATCAGTTAAGCTTTATTTAGTTAACTGATTAAGCAGAATCCTGCTCCAGGTCCCCCTATCCCTGTGCTTGGGGCTGCTGGCTGCCACCCTCTGCCTCGCTTGGGGCTGCTAGCCCCCTACATATGGGGCTGCCACTGCCAAGCCCCCACCCCCGCTCTTGAAGCTGCCAGCTGCCATTGCTGTCCCCCTATGCTTGGGGCTGCTGGCTTCTGCTCCTGCCCCCTCCCGCCCCCCCGGGGATGGGGCAGCCAGCTCCTGTTCCAGACCCCTGTGGGGCTGAAGCAGCTCTCCGCTCATGGCAAATCATGGGTAGGAGGGTGCTTCCAAGATGCTCCCATGTACCAGTTAACTGGTACCCAGTAAGCATCACCTGGTTATCCATTCACATCCTTAACCTCCATTTCCATGAATGGTCCCGCTGGCCTTAGAGGTACAGGATGCATAAGGAAGAGCCCTTTCCAACATCATTAGTGTGCTTGCTTCCTGAATCTAAATGACAATCCTCTAAGAAATATTTACTGTGCTGTAATCCAACTGTACGAGACAGCATAAAACAGACCAACATCTTCATCCATTTGTTAATGCCCAATAATCAGGGGGTATCTGTCTAACATGTGGTGGGAATGCCTTTGGAATCATACATTAAATGCATATTTGTGAACCCTTAATTTAAAGCTTGACTGCAGAGAGAGATTCTGCTGATAATGACACATTTCTTCACTAATGTCTTGATTTTTATCAGCTTGGGGATCAACAAGCACAACCTGGTGATTTCATAACCACATTTTGAAAGGTTACTTTGAAATGGAAAGTCAGAAGATTAAAGAAACAACCATGATCAAATTTATAATTAGCAAGAGGTGATGAGTTTGGCAAATTACCCACTGTGTAACCATCAGGAACACAATGACGCTGTAATTACTTTGATTTTTTTTTCCTTTGCTGCAAAGTAAGAGCTACATTTTTTAAAAGGTTGATATGATAAAACTCTGAATGAATATTTAGATACTCAAGAGAAGGGTATCTGGCCTTACAGATTATTGCCTGAAAACAGTTATGCTTTAATGATGAAAAATTAATAAGACTTGGCTCTTCTTTTCCACCTTCCATCCAAAGGTCTCAAAGCCCTTTGCAAACATTAATTCGTTAGAAGACTTACCCAGCGTTGCTCGGATCCTTAACTCAATTAATTTTTGTTTTTTGGAAAATAAAATGAAAATGTCCATGCTTCATTTAAATCATTGCTCTGGGGTGGGGCAGGAGATGAGGGGTTCAGTATATTGGCTACTTTGGGGAGAGAAGACTACTCCAGACCTCTCTCACCGCAGCAGCTTGGGGCCAGGTGAAAAGTGCCTCTCCATCACCACTGCAGCTGCAGTGGGCAAAACCAGGGAAAGA